GAAGAGGGGAGGGGAGGGGAGGGGAGGGGGGATAGTAGAGGATAGGAAAGGCAGCAGAATACAACAGACATGAGTTTATTAATATGTAAAGCAATGAAGTGTAACTGATGTGATTCTGCAAGCTGTATACGGGGTAAAATGGGAGTTCATAACCCGCTTGAATCAAAATGTGAAATATGATATATCAAGAACTATGTAATGTTTTGAACAACCAACATTAAAAAAAAAAGACAGCTCTTGGTTATATCACTCTGAGAACTTGCTAAGCAATGTGATGGATTTTTTTTCTAAAGCTTGCTTGCTGTACAAGAGTATTCCCTCTCAGAACAACGCCCCAAATTTGATCTAAATCTTGTAAGAACCATGTGTTTCTCCCACAGCTAAGACTGCTGCTCTGCTGACACCATCTGGGTTGTCTGCACTGTCCAGCTTACCTTATGCTTACAGGTTGCCTCCCTCACCAGGCAGCTGGAGATGAAGTTGTAAATTACTTTGTACATTTCTCTGGGCTGCCTTTCTGCTTCTCCCTGTTGTTTATCAAACTGAGTTTGATAAATAGTTCTTTATAGTTCCTCTATTTCTCTTCTCAAAGAACAATTATACATTTGGTCCTTAATGTTTTTAACTCACAGTCACAACAAAGTTACCTATTTTCTGCTATTTACCTCCTATTTTTGAATACTAACAACTCATGAAAGAAGAATTTGGAAAAAGAGTAACATTCTATGATACCTAGTGAAGTTGAGCAATGTTGATATCTGAAATTCTCTTTTTGAGGAACTTGCTCAGTCTACCTAAAGTGAGTCAAATTTTGATATTACATATCTAATCTGAACTCTGAAGCCTAGAATCATTATTGAAATATTTTTAGGTAAACCATGGTCCATTCATTTTCCAGTCTTAATGACCATATGATTATGATTTCTCCTGGATTCATGGCTGTCACCTGAGGTTTCTGATGATCTCATCCCAGTTCCATACTCTATCCCCTGTGCTCTGGTGCTCCCACATCTCAGGCCATTGGCACTCAAGTGTGTGTGTGTGCTCTATAAGAACCAATCATATGCTGGCCTATTGACTTTTAGAATTCATTTAGAAAAAGACGCTTTTAACTACTCAAGGTAGGAAACCTGACATTTCTAGAATTGTGTTACCAGATCCCGTGAAAATCTCTGCAAATAGTAAGTTTATCTCAGATAGCAACTACCTCACAACGTCTACTGAGACATCTAACTAGATTGTGTTGTGTTTAATCTCATTTTTTTGTTTTTTACACAATTAATTCTCCTACTTATTTGGTAGGAATTGAAACTTAGCTGGTGCCCTGCTATAAATAATTCCATATCTTACACAGCAAGCTCTGCAATCTGAAAGTGAATTCTGCCAACTGATTGGTTGGGGGAGGGAGTATGAGAGGACAAGAATACCCTTCTCCTTTTCTTTGTAAATACAACCATTGACATGATTCTTTCTCCTCAGAGACTCCACAGGTCCGCCTGGTAAATGGTGGCAGTCGCTGTGCAGGCAGAGTGGAGATCCTTCATCAGCATTCCTGGGGCACTGTCTGTGACTACCGCTGGGACCTGAATGATGCCCACGTGGTGTGTGCAGACAAATGGGCTGTGGAGTGGCCCTCGATGCCATGTACTATGCACAATTTGGGGAGGGATCGGGGCCCATCTGGCTGGACGAACTGAAGTGCACAGGAGAGGAGGACCAAGTGTGGGAGTGTCCTTCTCTAGGCTGGGGACATCACTACTGCACACACAAGTGGGATGCAGGTGTCATCTGCTCAGGTATGGTCTGCACATTCTCCACTGTCTAAGGGAATGAAAAGGACAAACAGTGTGTATTTGAGTCTAGGGAAATAAGAGACAGATGAGCCACAGAGGACTAAGAGTTCCCCTTGGACCCTGAGTGTTCAAAATAGCAGTGGGTAATGGGATTTAATTATTTCTTTTGAATCTCAAATATCGTTCTTTCCCTTCTCTGCAGTCATACTTGAAAAAATAGGTTTATGGTTTTGTAGAATTATTTTAATTAAAATCATCTTCATAATCTGTTTCTATAATTTACTATTTATAGATTTACCTGTAAATTAACACACATAACTACTTTTCAAAAGACAGACAAGAATGGGGCTTGCTTTTTTCAATTAAATTGAGTGTTCATGTATGTATAGCCAGAGTTAATTTTTCATTGGGTTAGTAGGTGTCTGGGCCCAGGGATGGGACTAAACACATCGAAGGGTAATTTAAGAATTACCACCAAATTGCAATTCTCTTTTGCATATTCAGACATCATAATTATCAACTCATTGGCAGGCAGGGCCAGAGAACTTTGAGTTAAATGCTCTGAGTCACGGGTTTTCCTTCCATCATTACTACATAGATTGTCTCTACATTTCTTTCTTAAAGCAACATCTGTATAAACTCATATGTGGGAGCTGAATTTAGCCTTGTGCTGGCAGATTAGTGTTGGATGAAACAAAATATTAATGCATATTTATTGTATAAGATGTTATATAATTTAGGACTCAGATCAGGATGATTGTTCAGTGATCTCCCACAAAAACACCACATTAACTGTAATTCACACACAAAACTGACACACAAAACACCACATAAACTGTAATTCACACACAAAAGAGACAACAAAGCAGGTGGGTGCATGCTTTCACATAGATTTAAAAAAAGGCACATTGAAAGAGGAAGGAAGATAATACTTACCCTTTCTCCAACCTCAGGGAGCCCAATATGAAGAGAAATGCATACTTTTTGGAGAATGGAAAGGGAATTAATCCCAAATATTAGACTTGAATCCCAGGAATAGGCCTGCCACAGTGAAACCTGGGTACCAACAGAGCCCAACAACCCTGTCCCCATGCCAGTAACCTCACACTGAGACTCTGGAACTCTGTTGTGTTGGGCAGCAAAACTGTCTCCACCACCACTTCTCCAACCTCTAGTAGAAGAGGGGAAAGCAAGAATCAGATAACAGTGCTGGCACAGGACTTTGTCTTAGAGTTCAGTGCCAGACCAACTATGATCATATTCAGTAGGAATTAGAGGCCTCAAATGTAGAACAAAGGTAACTGAGCAAGACCTGTGTGCTGGTGGAACAAACTCAAGAAGAGCCTGAAGCACCTGTGGCTGGCTGCAGGAGTCTAGAGCCTTGAGTCCACCTCAGCAATAGGCAGCTCATAGCACTGAGTGCCTCGGTCCCTCCCCACTTCTGTGTTGCTTTGGCAAGCTGTGGCCTCAGTGTGTGATATAACACTGTAGGGTTGGTGGCCACAGGACTTCCCACCTCATTCTTCCTCAACCCCTGGCAGCACAACATGGAGAGAGTTAAGTCTCTTTGTGAAGGTGAAACATTATTTGGGCGATTGTGACTGGAAGCCTGGGGTTCTTATCTCTATATCTTAGGGTACAGATCTCAAAGATGAAAGATAAAGACTCTCAGGCATCAAGAGAAAAAACTATGAAATCACATGTCCCAATTCACCTGATGGCAGTGTTCTTAACAGTAAACATATAGGTCAGAAGTGAGTGCCATGAGATTTTCATAGAAATTAAGAAAAACCTGCCAATCAAGAATACTGAATCCATCAAATATATCCTTTAGACATGAAGGAGGTACAAAGACATTATCAGACATCCTTCTGCCCTAAATTACCGTATGATACAGCAATTCCAATGCTGAGCGTATGTCCAAAGAAGTGAAATCTGTATGTTAAAGAGACATCTGTACTCTCATGTTTATGGCAGCACTATATATTGTAGCTAACAAATGGAAATAATGCCCGTCAGCTGATCAATGGATAAAGAAATGAAATACAATGGAATACTATTTAGCCATAAAATAAATTAAACATTTTCATTTGACATAATACGCATGGGTCAGGAGATAATTAGGTTAAGTAAAATAAGTCAGGCAAAGAAAGACAAGTATATTATAATCTCACTGTATGTCAAATATAAAAGAGTTGACCTCATAGAGGTTGAGAGTAGACATGTGGTTACCATAGACTAGAGAGTGTAGGGAATGGGAATGAAAAGCAACAGACTGATTGATGACTAATGGGTTTTTCTTAAATAGGAGCAAAAAGTTCTGGTGCACTGTGGCACAGGAGGGTGGCTACAAAAAACAATAAGGAACTACATTTCACAGAGCTAAAAGAAAGTGTTTTGGAAGCTTTCAAAAAAAGAAATGAAAAGATTTGAAGAGACAAAGAAATGCATATATACATACATCAGCACATGAATTAATGAAATTTATATGTACATTATGTCAGTAGATACCAGTTAGTTTAAATTTACTTAGATAAAAGTGAAGGAAAATATAAATATGATTAGATATAGGGAAAATATATTGTTTATATCTAATGGAAATAATGATACAAGAAGAGTATATTATCAAATAAATTTTATAAAAATGAGACAGGAAGACAAATAGAATTTTCCAAAGAAGACAGAGGAAGCTTACAGTATGTGGGGGATTACCTTCAAAGGTTGATAAAGAGCACGTAAGGATTATTTCAGCAGCATTTAAGACCCTGGTGTTGAAAGRGCAATCTGTGTACATTGTGTGAATTCAGTATACCCCTCCTGTACAAAAGGAGAAAAATGATTTTCAAGAGTGACTCAAGGTTGAGGTATTAGACAAAGTCAGAATAGAAAACGAAAAGGTCCCTTGGATGATACTTTCATAAGAAACTTGAAACATGCCCAGGGGATCAATGTGTCTATGGAGCTAAAGATAGGACAAAGATATGTATGACTGTAATTTTTAATTTACTCCAGTGAGAAAAAWTCATATGAATCAATAGATTTCTGCAGATGCAATTTTTCTTTCTTTTTTCACCCAATGGTTCACAAACTTCAGATGGCTTAAAATTGGGTTTCTCCCCACTGGATGAAAAGCTCTGCAAAGATAATGACATTATTTTCTTTAAATATATATACCCAGCACCTAAAAAYACATCTGGAACATGACAGATTCTAAAAACATGCTAGTGTTGTGAATAACAAAACAGAGAAGCAGACTCTCAATATATACCTCTTTATATACCTTTATATACCTCTCTTTATATACCTCTTTTCAATATCAGGACTAGGGAGAAAGTTCAGATTGTGTCTCCTTTGAAGACCTCTCTGCTGCATTTTTATCCTTTCCCGATCAGAGGCATTTTTTATCCATACTCAGTAAATTCCATTTTAATGACTTACTTTGAATAGAAAAATTACTGAACATGTTATTTTCCAGAGAAAGGATTTCCTTCTTCAGGATACCAACCTACTATTACATTACAATTGCAAATCTGTAGTTAGATGCCACCCCAAAGATCTGAACCGAT